GATAGGAGTAGCGGCATGTGTTGCCAAGATGGTGGATTCAGGCTCATTGTTGTAATACTTTGTAAGGTCCTCGAGAATAATCAATAAAATGGTCGTATGCATCTCCCAGATGCAGAGGCCGGGGGTAATCCTCCTTTTCTAAAAAAAATAATAATAATAATAATAAGACAAATCAATGTAGCTAAAGGACTGCTATGTTCATCTCTTCTTTTGACAAATGAAGGATTGCTAAAGGGCCTAATAATTTTGCGGACGTAGCTTGGAAAGATACATTTGCTTTGTTCTGTTCCTTTTCAAGTTGAAAGAGTAAAGTGGTCCTTGGATGCAGTGCCACAATGGCGACACCAAGCTTGCCTTCTTGGTAGAGGCAACTTCCATGGTGGCTTTTCCCTTGTAGGCTAAGGTTTCTTGACAGATAGTCATGTCCTTGCAGAAGCGGCTGCAAAAAGAAATCCGGTCAAATTCCCGGGGATTCGGACGACGGCGTTCATCTTCGTCAGTTTTTCAGTTCACACTTGGAGCTGGTGCGAAGGAGCTTCAAGATTGGAAGAGAGAATAATATAATAGAATTGCTCACAGACATGCCAGAATGCTTATAAATGGGAACCGAGCATTTTATACTATTGCTTTGGGTTTGTGTCACTGTTCAGTTTGGGCTGTTGCCTAGGGGCAGGGGACGGTCGCTTGTCCTGCTCCCGTCATGTGCAGTCTTGCACATTGTCGTTAGTGAACTGTCTTTTATTTTCAACAAAATGTTTTTGTCAAAAAAGTTCAAGATTAATTTCTGGGTCTCAATTATGACCGATGCCATGAAGAGATCAATCAGCAACAGTCAGCATGAAATTTTTTTCTTTTTTTTAGGGTAGCATGACAAAAATTTCTGATATAGCTGACAATGCAGAGCATTTTATACTATTGCTTTGTGTTTGTGTTATCTGTTCAGTTTAGGAAAATCAAAAGAGGTAATATCGGTGGCAGTCATAAAACTTGCATATAATGTTTAGTTTAGTGCTAAAAGTTGCAAAATACGTTATTGCAGGCACATAACTGGCCTATGCATGCAGATACAGTCACTTTTTCCGTATCCGCCGTATCTAGTGCTCACGTGGTGTGTCAGCATGAATGCGGCCCACATGATAGTGCCTAGAGTGGTGATGTATTAGGTGAGCCACACATTTTTTTTGTAGAAAACGCCTTTGATTTTTATTTAATTACACACCTGTCAGCACATAGTAGAGCCAAGGGGATCCACGACCACTATTTTTTTTTAGAAATCTCCCTTGCATTTTATTTATTTACACTGAAAATCCTCAAATAAAACTAGAAACACTACTGTTTTTTTCAGAAACTACCCTTGCATTTTACTTATTTACGCTGGAAATCCTCAAATAAAATTAAAAACACTAGAGCTCGGATTTGAACCGAGGACCTGCTGCGATTAAGAATGCTTGATAACTACTCGACCATTGATGTTTGACATGAATTAAAGAGATATACACAATTAATCTTCTGTATTATTTCTTTTTTCTATGTTAGCAAACAATTTACGTTCTAGATAAAATTTTCAGACAAATAAACTAAATTTTTGTTTTATTTAAATAATTTTAAATTTGAAGTCTAGATAAAAGAAATATAGTGCAAAATAAATGCACGTAAATTTTTAGAACAAACAACAAAATTTTTGTTCGAACTCAATTTTCTTTATTAAATCTCAATAATGAAAATATAGGTCAAATCAACTATTTTTTGAATTTGAATAGATTTATATTAAAAAATCTAGATAAAAGAAGATATATTGCATAATGAATGTGCGTAAACTTCTTTCAGACAAATCAATAATTTTTTTGTTTCAATTCGTATAGTTTTAAATTTGAAATCTAGACAAAAGAAAATTTCGTTCATCGTCCGAAAGAAATTTAAAATTTGAATAATTTTAAATTTGATAAAATAGACGCTCAATCAGAATGGTCCTACTCTCGTCATAATATGCCTCATGGATAATTTCTATTTCCCGCATAGTTTTCTTAAATAGAACAAGATAAATAATGACATATGCACGGACATTTATATTCCTTGCCTGATTTTTATTTAAATGTGTGAACATTTTTGAAATGCAAATTACTTTTCCCTTTATAATTACACAAATATTTCTTACAGTGTTTAATTTTATTTAGATGTCACGTATTTTTTTGTAACGCATGAACATTTTTTTAATGTCACAAACAACAGAATTTAAGTTGTTTTCTTACATCAATTTATTCCTGCGGGGAATAACACGACAGGTCTTTTGTTTATTTTTTAAATTTTCGGACAAATCAACTATATCTTTTGAATTTTAATAGTTTTAAATTAAAACACCTAGATAAAAGGAGATATAGTGCATAATGAATGTGCGTAAATTCTTTCACACAAATCAGTGGAAATTTTGTTTGAATTCGAATAGCTTTAAATTTGAAAATGTAGATAAAAGAAAATATAGTTCATCTAATTTGTTCGAAAGAAATTTAAAATTGGAATGGTTTTAAATTTGAAAAAATGGACGCTTAGTCAGAATGATCCCGCTCTCATGATAATATGCTCATGTCATGGATAATTTCTATTCCCCGCGTAGTTTTCTTAAATAGAACAAGATAAATAACAACAGATGCACACACATTTATATTCCCTGCCAGATTTTTATTTTAATACGTGAGCCATTTTAAAATGCAACTTAGGCTTTTATAATTACACAAAAATTTCTTACAACGTTTAAATATTTTGTTAGATGACACGATATTTTTGTAACGTGTGGACAAGTTTTTGTCCGAAACAAAAAAAATTAAATTGTTTTCTTACATCTATTTATTCATGCGGGGAATATCACGATAGGTCTTTAGTTTTGGTTTATTCCTTTGTTGGGCTGAGTGAACATTGTGTTAAAGAACATTTCGTTTGTTTTGCTTGCATCAATTTATTCCGGGTTGAGTGGATAGTGCCGTTAGCTTATAGAGTGCGGGGCGTCGAATAGAATCCCCTTGGCGCTATTTTTAATTCATATTTCTCGTGAGCCACTACGTGCTGAAGCCTAAAGGTGCGTAATTAAATCAAAGTTGATGGTGTTTTCTGCACAAAAACAATCAATTCGTGACTCACCCAATGCCTCACCACTCCCCCGCCCCACTGACATGTGGGCCGCATTCATGCTGACACGTGACATGAGCACTAGATACGGCTGGATATGGAAGAAGTGACTGTAACTGCACACATAGACAAGTTATATGATTGCAATGACGTATTTTACAACTTTTAGCACTAAATTGAACATCGTATGCAAGTTTTATGACTGCCACCGATATTACCTCAAATCAAAAATCGTGGTGCTCAGTTATCTTCTAGTCGTGTCACGTTGACGTCGGCGAGAAACGTGGATCCTAACATGAAGCTCCTTCAACTTTGCCATGGGAGAATCTTGCTTGCCTCCTACCTTATACATGTGATTTTGTTGTCATCATTACAAGCCCTCACCGTTCACAAGCAGGATCAACGCTCCATGGCAGAAAGCGAGAGGGCAGCCGGCCCTCTCCGATGACAGCTTGGTGTGTGCAATGCTATGATTTCCAGTGGTTTTCAAAGAAGGCACGGTTTCATCTTTAGTCTTTTTTTTAGAAAGGTTTCATCTTCATTCAGTAGTTTCGGTTGCATCCCAGTGAGGTATGACTACTACTATACCCTTGTTATTGTTTGTCTTGAGTTTTCTCATCATTTTGTATCAAATTTGGCGTGGTTTGACTACTCCTATACTCTTGTTGTGGGGGTGAAAGCCTATTTTGGGAAGGAAGCAAGTCTTATGGCCCTGTGCAGGAGGCTGTGCTCAGACGCGAAGCTGCTCCCGCGCTGAAGGAATCACCACTCGCGTAAGCAGCTAGGCCGGCCCATGACCGCACCGCATTTTTTACACACATTTAACATTTCTAAAATGCTTGTTTAACATTTTTCAAAACTTGTTCAATTTGTTTTTCAAATTCTTGATTAACATTTTATATACATGATTAAAAAAATCATCATTTTTTAATACATGATCAACAATTTTTCTATACACGTTCAACATTTTCTGAATGCTTGATTAACATTTTTCAAATACCTATTCAACATTTTCCAAATGCTTAATTAACATTTTTTTTCAAATACCTGTTCAACATTTTTCGAATGCTTGTTCAACATTTTCAAATACCTATTCAACATTTTCTGAATGACTAATTAACATTTTTTTCAAATACTTGTTTAATTTAAAAAAATACTTGTTGAACATCTTTCGAATGTTTGTTCAACATTTTTTGAATGCTTGTTCATCATTTTTCAAATACTTGTTCGACATTATTTTTAAAATACTTTTTCAACATTTTCCAATTTTTTTATAGAGTGTTTGTTGTAATATACATTTTCAATTTTATAAAGTATCTATACCAATATAAAAAGACCCAAAGGGGCAGATCCAATTAATCTCGGTCATCAAATCATGTCAATCCAACGACTTAGACTGGTTCAATGTCGAGCGCTCAACACGTTTAGTGTGCAGTTAATTTCATGCCAAATATATTGTTAATCACATAATAACACGCAAATAATATCCTACTTAATATTCGCATGCACTTAATATACTTCCCAATTAACGTGCATTGCACATATACATTGACTAGTAAAGAAAAGTACAGAAATAAAGCAAAAAAAAGAAAAACAGAAAACATAAAAAAAAGCAGAAAACAGGCCGTGGCCTCCGCGCGTGGGCCGGCCCATTTTACACTCGCTGAAGGCGCCCGCAGGCCCATGCTCGCAAGGCGAGGGTGTGGTGTGGACCTTCCTTGAAATACTCCCCCGCCTTGGCGCCCGAACGTAACCGTTTCAACCAACAGCTTTCGCTTCTGCCCCTCGCCGGAGCTCCAAGAAACAAGAACCCATCATCCCCACCTCCACTGCGCAGCGCCCACCGCCTCTGCTCTCGAGTGTCCCAGCGCCGGCGACAGATGGAGCAATTCCAGGACGGCCACCACGTGCGGCTTCGGTGCCGCGAGCACGGCATGTACCTGCACGCCGACAAGGACGGCCGTGGAGTCTCCCTCCGCCGGCCCCGGGCGTCGATGAACGCGGCGTGGGCAGTGCACCTGTACCAAGAAGATGACGATGTCCAGTACGTGCTCCTCCACAGCGCCGCCTATGGCGGCTACCTGGCGGCCATGGACGCACCGGCGCCGCTAGGCCACCGCGGGCGCCGCGTCGAGCAGCGCGACTACGAGGAACTGGAGGAGGAGGCCGTCAGGTGGCGGCCCGTCAGGATCGTGCCCGGGGACTACATCCTGCTCCGCCACGCCAGCGGCCGCTTCCTCCGCGCCAACGGGAAGTTCCTCCCCTGGAACAACGGCGCCAGCGTCGTCGACACCGTCAGCACGATGACGCACTGGGTCGTGGAGCGCATCCCCGCCAGGGAGGGCATGCCTGAGGTGAGCCCGCTTCTTGATTCTTCCCGAATTTGCGCGAATTTGGTTCTGTTCTTGGCATCCGAACCCAACCGCAGGGAGCAATTCATGGTTCTGTTCTTGGCATCTTGCAAAATTTGCGTTTCTTGACGTCTTACATCTCTGTTCGCCACTTCGCATTTCCGCTTTGCGCCCTGACAACGAGACTCAACTGCAGCTCCCCCTCGCCGGAGGCCTCGACATCCTGTTGCCGCGGCGGTGGGTCGTGTACGCCTCGGCGGGCGCCGATGGGGGCCCCGCCTTCTGGGCTACGTTGGGGTTCAAGGGGAGGTCTGTGTTCCGCCTGAGGAGCGAGCTGGCCAGCGATATAGGCATCGGCATGGGCGACCTCGCCATGTGCGTCCAGGCGGGCATTAACGGGCGGCCTACCCCACTCGTCGTCAACCTACCCCGTGGCACGCGGACCCTTTACATCGTCGTCGTCCCAGGTGAGAGGCCTACTCATCTGTCATCTCTATTTCCCCAGCTTCCTACTGGTCGATGCATCTTTGGTTTTGTTTTAATGGAGTGCTATTCAGCTTGTGTAATGAAACTGTTAATTAATCCCAAAAACAGTTTACTGAAACGGCTGCTACTCTGGTTCAGTTAAGACTTGGGAGTTTGTCTGAACTGTTGTGCTTTTGATAGAAGTAGAAGTAGTTGAATGCTAGAAAGTGGTCTGAAGCTAATTAGTTGGTGGGAGAAAAAAATTTTATAAACACATATTCACACTCAACCTTGATTTGGAAATTATTGGTTTTGAACTGTCCATGATTTGGATGGATCCAGTTCTTCAATTTAATCTATATATGCCGTAAAACCCAAATCTGGTTCAATCATCGTAGTTTAGCTTTACATATAAGACACTGATTTCTAATTGATTTAGCTAGCCTATTCTATTAATTGTTGTGAGTAAGATGTGAACAAAATTCAGGATGTATCTCACATCACTACATGAAATACATTGTTTTCAGGTTTTGTACATCAGCTGCATTCTTTAATTATCTAGTTATTGACTTCTTAAATTATGAGATTTTTTTTTAAGATGAGTAAACAGCAAGAAACACATATTTTTGGTCTTGAACTTGTTTTGCATGTTGGTGGGTACTATTTTGTGGATGACCATGCGTGTGCTGTAAGTAGAAGTTAAATGGAAATAATGTTCAGATTTCTTCAGAGAAATACTGAATGAAACAGTTAACAGTAGGTGTGTACAAAACGTGGTCTGAAGCTTGTTGGGAGAAAATCATTACATAAGGCAAATGTTCACACTAAACCTTGATACAGAAATTATTGGTTTCATACTACTGTCCTTGATACAGATAATTTAGTTTTCCCGTTTTGTACTACTTGCCGCTAGTAGAAACTTTGACAAGATATTTAAGTTATTAATCTTTTCAGTGGTTGTATTACCTTTGACATGATGTCTGACTTCCTCACTTTCTGTTCTAATTCAGCCCATGTCGAGCTGCGGTACCCGGATGTCGGTGCAGAGTAGAAAAGGAGAAGAGCAGGACTCCCGACCGCCACCTTGGACACGATGACATGAGAACCCAGAACTGCATTTTGCATTGAGATATAGGTTTAGGAAAACCCCAGTAGCTCTTGTGATTCTGCTAGCTGAAACTGATTCATTTTCCAAACAGGAGGAACATGACTGTTTCACCCGGCCCTTGTGGTTCTGAACTTGAGAACCTCTGTGAACATTGGTTCGTAATGGTCGCTTTCTTATTCTGGCTGCTACTTCAGCGCTGCCTGGTGCACTTCTTTTGGGTGGTGGTGGTTCTTGCAGTTAATTGAGCACTCGACTTTAGCTGTGCGTTTTCAGATTCGAATTTTGACGAGTTCTGAACATCCATTGTACATTTGGTTTAGGCTAACATGTGAACAAAATTGTATGCCACGACACCATTGTTCTCAGGCCCTTTAGAGTCTCTCGCTACCCTCCCTATAATCTGGACACAGCAATAGGATAGGATTCTCAGGTGGACACCACGGCTAGACAAATCAACAAACACCTTACACGCACAACACAGCTAAGAAAAGAGCACACAAAGGACAGCGATTTCCAGCCCTCCTTTCAATGTGGTTGCCTTCTTTTGCTTATTCAGTACCTCATCTTCGAGTCCAAGCAGAGAAAATTACACATTTGGTCCTCAAATTTGCTGGCACCTAACACAACCATATCGAAACTTGAAAAATGCTTCAATATGGTCCTTGAATACACAAATACATAACATCCAGTGAAGGAGGAAATGAGAATATCACCACCCGTAGGCATCAGCCCTCCCGCACGCCACAAAACCGCCTATCGCCAGCCAATGGCATCACAGCGCAAAGAAAGCATCTAATTTAGTTGGGGCCCACCATAAGGCTATGTCGAAAGAATGGACTTGTGCACCGCTGACCTTACCCGGAACGACAAAGGCAACACATAACACTCACCATCAAACCAGGCTGGCACAGCCGGTCAGGCCCCACGACTAAAAAAACACTGGCCAGACACGCCCACGATGACAAGAAGCCGGGTTGGCAAAGACCCTCCAAGTCCGATGGAGTCGAGCGGGTGAAGGTGACCCACGAGCACCAGCCGGCAAAGCCCGTGATGTCAAGAGTCGGGGCAGGCCATTCCTTCCACGTCTTGCCAGACCAAGCCCCTGTGCGTCCGGCCAGGCAAGCCCCCCACGCGTCTGGACAGGACCAATGGCCGAAAAACAACGCGGCCACACGCACAGGCCGACAACCTTGATAGGTTGGCCCCACACACCACCAATGCTGCTGCCGCAACATAGGGCCCAGTCGGCGAGAGCGAACCAACATGGCATGAGGCCAACGTTGCTGACAGCCGAATCCACAAGACAACTAGCGCTGCAGATGCAACACACAAACCTGGCTGGTTCGCTCATGGCAGAGGGAGCTAGCCCCACACGCCAAATGGCTTTGCGACCGCCATGCACCCCGCCTGGCGCGACCGGACCAGCCCGATGGCCGGGGTGAGGACGCCGGCAAGCGGGTCCGGCCAAGCCATCGTACAGGGCGCAGCGCGAGGGACATTGCTCGCGGCCACTACCGGTGTCAAAACCGTTGGATCTCGGGTAGGGGGTCTCGATCTGTGCGTTTAAGGCCAATGGTAGCAGGAGGCAAGGAACACGGTGTTTTACCCAGGTTCGGGCCCTCTCGATGGAGGTAATACCCTACTTCCTGCTTGATTGATCTTGATGATATGAGTATTACAAGAGTAGATCTACCACGAGATCATAGAGGCTAAACCCTAGAAGCTAGCCTATGATGATTATGATTGTCCTTGTCCTACGGACTAAACCCTCCAGTTTATATAGACACCGGAGGGGGCTAGGGTTATACAGAGTCGGTTACAAAGAAGGAGATCTAACATCCGGATCGCCAAGCTTGTCTTCCACGCAAAGGAGAGTCCCATCCGGACACGGGACGAAGTCTTGAATCTTGTATCTTCACGGTCCAACAGTCCGACCAAAGTATATAGTCCGGCTGTCCGGATACCCTCTAATCCAGGACTCCCTCAGTAGCTCCTGAACCAGGCTTCAATGACGATGAGTCCGGCGCGTAGATTGTCTTCGGCATTGCAAGGCGGGTTCCATCTCCGAATACTCCAAAGTAAACCTCGAACACTTAAATCGTGTCCGGCTCTGCAAGACGATTTTCATATACCACCGCAGAGAGAACGATATTCCACAAATATAATCTGCTGACAACTTTAGATAACATGACATCACACCATGGTCGAGTCATTATTCGAACCGTTTTCCCACAACCAGCCACCGCACATATTGTGAGGCGGCTTTCTCGGCACATCTTGTCGAAGCAGAGATCATGTCCCCTTATCACGGGATTCTCATCAATACGGGTACGGGTAACCCAACCGCGCCATCAATCGTGGCGCTTGGGAAATAAGCGATTTTTAACGGGCAAGTGGGGAGGCGCACCGTTTTCGTCGCCTCTATAAAGGGATAAGGATCCCCCATTTTACCCACGCCTTCTTCCTCCTCTGCTTATCCGTTCTCGCACCCTCGAGCTCCAGCGCCCTAGTTCACGCCTTCCCCACACAACCAAACATGTCCGGAGCAGGAGGCAAATGGGTGGCCTCGACCGTCAAGGAGGAGCACATTACGAAGCTCCGGGCGGCCGGATACTTGGCCACAGATATCGCGCACCGGCTGTCGGACGCAGGGCAGATTATTCCGACTCCGGGACCCCACGAGAGGGTCGTGTTCCTCGCCCACTTCATCCGTGGGACGGGATTCCCCCTCCACCCATTCGTCCGCGGGATCATGTTCTATTACGGGCTAGACTTTCATGATCTGTCCCCTAACCTCATCCTCAACATCTCGGCGTTTATCATCGTGTGCGAGGCCTTTCTCCGCATCAGGCCTCACTTTGGCCTGTGGCTAAATATCTTCAACGTAAAGCCAAAGATAATGGTCGACCAGCAGGCGGAGTGCGGCGGCGCCATGATGGGCAAGATGCCCAACGTTACGTGGCTCGAAGGCTCCTTTGCGGAGACCGTGAAGGGGTGGCAATCGGGGTGGTTCTACATCACCGAGCCACGCGACGCCAACTAGGTGGTGGCCCCCGAATTCTGATCTGGCATCCCTGTGCGGCTCACTTCCTGGAAGAGGAAGGGCCTGGCCTGGGGCGCATCTGCGGAGCTGACCGGACTCCAGAACTGCGTCCAAAACATGATAACCAAGAATATCAAGCTGGTCAATGTGGTCCAGGTCATGCTGTTTTGCCGGATTCTCCCGTGTCAGAGACGGGCATTCAACTTGTGGGAGTTCGACGCGGCCCAACACCAGACACTGCAAGAGCTCTTTGACGCGATGCACAAAGACGCCTGGAAGGTGTTGTTCAAGGCCAGCGAAGTTCCTCCCCCCACTTCTGAGGACCGCGCACTCAGCGCCAGGCGTTAGGCCAATGCGGTAAGCACTCTACATTTCGCAAGATGTGCCTTTCCTCAGTATATTCATGGGAGAAACTTAGGCCACTATGCTGATTTTAACAGGAATATGTGGCGACGGCGGAGCAGATCGACTGTCCAGCTCCGTTGCCTGAGGACCCAGCAGACGAACTCCTGACGGAGATGCTGGCTCCAACACCCTATGAGGTGCCGGAGAAGAAGGCCAAGAAAAAGGCCACGGGGACCAGAAGAAGTTCCCGGCGCAACGTGGTGTCGGATTCATCGTCCGAAGACACCAGGGCGCACTCCTCTAACGACAACGAGGAGGAGGAGGAGGAAAACCCTCTCCCCGAAAACGAAGGGGGGAAGAAGAGGAAGGCTACCCTTTCCGGGGAGGCCGAAGGGTCCAAGAAGGGACGGACCCTCCCTTCGGACCACTCCACAACCGCCGCCTATAGCAAGGAGGAGTGGCTACCCAGGGGCAAGCCCCTGGTGAGATCGTAAGTATCCGCACTCTGTAATACTTTTAGTGCGACTTAGCTTCATAGTTTATAATGCCGAACACGCATATGTAGTCCGGCTAGGTCCCATCCCGAGGTATCCTCCTTGGATGGGTCTCTGAGTGATTCGGCAATGAATTCACTCCCGCCGGCCACCTCTCCTCGGCCTGCGGATGACACGGAGGTGTGGTCCCAAAGGATACCAGGGCAGGGGGAGGCTGCTCTAGAGACGCCCCAAGGCGAAATTCCATACGCCGGGCACATGGGGAATAAGATCCCCATAGATCGTGCTGACGAGAGCCGCAGCAAGTCGGGCTCCCAGCCGGATACTGCACCGAAACCCCCAAAGGTTCCAGATTTGTGTAGGCAGCCCCTCGCTAGGGAGGGCGAACCAGCCGTGCCAATGACCTCCGTTGCGCCATAGGCATCGGATGGTCTGCTGGAAGTGCTTTGCGGCGCTTCCGTGGATGAAGAGCACCGTACTCTTATGAGTACGGTGATTCAGAAGGTTCGGTCCGCCAAAAGCGGATTGACCGAAGTGTGAGAAATCTTCACCCAATAGACAATAGCCCCTGATACTCTGTTTGGTGTTAGGAAAGAAAAGCCAAACGGCGGGTCAACTATAAACTGCAGGAATCTAACAATATGTGCCTATGTGAATAAGCAAGCGGTGCTGCTTGCCGCTGCTGCCAGCACAGCGGAGGTCGCCGGACTCAAATGGGACCTGAAGCAGGCTGAAGAGGAGCTCAGCCTCACGAAGAGGCAGCTTGAAGAGAACAAAGGTGAGTGATACCCCGTTCATGTGTCGTATAGAGGAGAAAAAATTGGTGACACTAACAAAAAGCGTCATGATTTTTTAATAGGGGCCACGGCCTAGGTGGCGGCCCTAGGGAAAGCGCTATCCGAGGCCGAAGACAAGGCGGCCTCGGAGCGCATTGAGCGTGAAAAGCAAGATGCTAGGGTGGGCGAGGTACAACAAGAGCTCCAGGAGCTCGGCAAGAAGTTCGAGTCCTTGGGGCGTGACTTCAAGATGAAAGAGTCTGAGCTTGCGAAGGCCCTTCTGAA